CCAACGCCAATAAATGGGTCTACATTAGCGAATAGTCGAGCTAAAATAGATGTGCTTTCTTTAATTCAACAATTTTCTCTTCAAAATGTTTACAATTCTTGCCTAATCTATTCAACAATTACTTCATTTGTGAAAAATAATAGAGCTAATAAAGCTGTTTAATAAACTAGTTTAATATAAAGTTATTTACAATTAATTTGTGATAAAGACAAATTTGATATTTTACCCCACCCACTCAGAACACACATTGTTCTCAAAAATTACTATATAATGAAAACACTCGGCGGCATGTTTCTTACATAAGAAGTTTGTTGCCTGTTATATAAGACATAATAAAACAATTTACACTTTGTGTATGTGAACTGCACGAAAAACATGGGAAAATGAACAGTAAATCTTATTAATATTATCATTTTTTGTACCTTTTTTGTCACATGTTATCTGCTTTTTACATAAAAACACTTTTACATTAAAATTGGGTAATACAACTTCTTTCCTGGCATTAATTTGATACAGGAATGCAATAAAAGAACAAAAGCATCTGTTTTAACTGCTTAAAATTAAGCAATAATGACTTAGTGGAACTTTTCATAATTTTGGCGGCCACATGGACGCCATCTTGGATTTCTCTGTTCGCCACCATTTATGCTAATTTATGCCGGCAGATTTGGAAACTACAAATATTTAGGAACATTTTGGTATATGACATGTCTTGTTAAAAAGTGGGTCCGAGTAGCCCCTATAAATAGGCTAGTTTTTTCGTAATTGTCACCCTACCATAATTACGTTTGATGTCGAATATATAACTTTTGAAGCCTTTTGAGGCAATACTCCATTTAAATTATGAGCGAAAAATGCATATATGGAATACGAGATGTAAACAATTTAAATTTAAAAAAGGATTTTGAAATTAACTTCAATTTTTATGTTAAAATTAAAATTTAACAAGGAGATGAGACTGTATCTTTTTTCAGTCTACATAACTACATTGCTTCATATCATAATGTACATGTACATTGTTGTTGTTATATATAATTCTCGAAAAACGTAAAGACAAAAACATGAACAAATCACAACAAATTAATTATCGATCGATATGTATTGATCGATAATTGTACTATAGTTTCTTTTTCATAATGTAAAACAAGATAATCGCAACATCGAACTACAGACAAGACAATTCATTATATACTGTATGTGTAGAAATATTCGCGGGCTTCAAATTTTCGCGATCTTCGCGGTGACATTCGATCCGCGAATTCATGTTTAGTGCGAATATTTCTACACCAATAATTTCTTATTAGTCATATTTTCGCGCTTCTGTAAGACAATGTATATCAGTGTGTGTTATGCTTTCACACTTTTTATGCAAATCTTTACTGAGTTATTGGGTTTTGTTTTCCAAGTTATTCATCATTTAAAACCGTTTATGTTTGTGTTTTTTAATTGTTTGTTCAGAAACACCAAAACATCATGTGATCAGATGTCAAGACTTTTATGACGCAAACTGTGAAAAATTATACACGTTAACGGGCATTCTTTTGTTTGCTATAATCTGTCCGCTAGACAATGTCTTTTTTTCTGTACAATAGAGTATCGTTTGACACCTGGTATTGAAAATAAATGTGAACTCCCACGATGATTACAGTAATTTTCCTTTTTTAACCTGAGTGGTCTACTCGAATTTATGATTTTCGGCAGTCACCTCCGCGAATTCAAAATAGCGCGAATATTTGTATATACCCCCAAAGTGGACCTTTCCGCGAAAATTTGATTCCGCGAATTTAAATACACATACAGTATCATGTACACATATTCATCGCCAATATAACGTACACGTGTTTCACTGGAAAATAGAAATTAAATCTTTACAAATTTATAGAAAATGTAGATATGATGAATGAACGTGCCATGTACAAATCGCGCCTTATTATTATAATTCTTTCATTATTATAAATTATGTCCCAGCTTAAAAACATATTTATAATAATAACATGTATATTTTTACTGCTATGTAACAAAAGCCATTAAAGTTATTAAAAACAATGTTAATTTATTGTTTTTTCCCTTTAACAAACTTTGGTGGATCTTGTAATGAAAACAATATTTGCTATCTGCCTTAAATTATTTATCGAAATATCTTAGATCTACTGGCCTTTTAAAGGGATACTCAGGCAAAATAATGACAAAAATATAAAAATTATCTTCTGTACTCAAATCACCCTTAAATGACATTTCTTAAAGTCCCAGCATGAATTTCTGTATAAATTATATATATTTTGGGTTTGAAGCTTGAAAATAACTATATATGTTGAACGAAATTTAGACGCCATAGTTAAAAAAAACAAGTCATGTGATTGGAACAAACCCCGGAAGTTGCAATAACAGGTGTTGTGGATATTGTACGATTGAAATAAGTCTAATTATTGATTTGACATGTTCTTTAACGTTTCCAGAGTACACAGTGACAACTATTGTGAAATCTTAGTGCTCTAACCTGACCCACGCGGGTCAAGATAGGAAAACACCATTTTATTCTTTATATGGAGAAAAGTTTTGTTCCTTTGACTGTTTAGTGTATTTTTTTTGAGGACATTTACAGAATAATGAATGAAAAATTCAAAACTAAGAAATGAAAATTTTGCCTGTGTCTCCCTTTAAAGTACAAAAATTGATATATGGGGTCTAAATGTCTTACCCACTAGGGGTCGAAAACTCATGTAAAAAGGGGTCTAAGAGCCAAGGGGTCTAGAAGACATCTATTTTCTTAAGGGGTCGAGAAGTCAATGGTTTTAAGTGTCTTACTTGCGTAGAGAGAATTAGAATCCCTAAAGAAAGTTCAAAATGGCAAATATTGAATGGCTCGGTTTGATCGAGCCTGTTCACAGTACTCTTTTCCCCTTCGTTTTTCAATTTTGCCCCCCCCCCCATCTTCCTCAAGTTCTTTTTCCTACACCTTTTATTTTTGTAAGCCTAGCTTATATTTTCTTGTCGGTTTCTTATGATTTCCTATTCCGAATTTTATTATTTCATTTTTAAATTATTACCCTGTGCATTGTCCTGTTTTAATGTGGTATCCTGCCGCGCGTTTTGCTGGTAGTCATGTGCTGCTGGGTCATTGTTTCATATTTTGAATCAATCGTAACAAGAAAATCAACAAAGGGATAATGTTCTGAAAAAACGTTAACAGATAAAACAATATGAATGTAAGTAAAAAAAACCTTATAAATTGTAAATAAAAACACGTACATGAACTGTAAGATTTTACGTCTACCACCTGAAGTTTGCCTTCCTTATAACTATAGCAACCGCTTTCGTCTTCGGCCTCGCACTGGTAAACTCCCGCGTCTTGCATTCTAACGTTTAAGATACGTAAGTAGTTATTAGCCATTTTCTGTCAAAGATAAAGAATTTGTTTTGACCAATAGAATAATCAATGAACCATTATTATTGTGAATACATTATAACAAACTGTTCGCATTTTGGAGGGAAATAAAAAAAACAACAACATGAGGTAGTCAAGACAACGAATACACATGCTCTTTATCATGTGCTGGCATGAAGGTTAAATTAAGCTTGAGAACTTATTAAATGTTACACTTTCTGTTGATTCTCTTGGTGGTCATTAAAAACAGGTGTGACTTTATAAGTATTGGCATTTATGCAAATATGAAAAAGAACGGTGTCTGTATAAATAAAAATATTAACATTTAACTGTCAAAAAGAAACGATATTTGTTTCGATTTCTAATTTCGTTTTGACTATGCAAAATGCTCAATAATAATAATAATTATTATTATTATTAATTATTTGTTCCAAAAACTTATTTATGTCGCTCCTTATAAGACTGAACCGATGTTCTTCCAGCGTTTGCACCATCACCATGGTGATAAATCATTATCCAGTAAATATTAAAAATTTATAAAAAAAAAGTTACAAAGTATAATACGTAAAAAATTTTTTTTTCTTTTAAATGATATTAAGCCAAAATTTTGTATCAGAAATCGACTCAAATTTTTATTTATGACTTTGAGTTTGTTTATTATGCTTGTACAGTATATTCACAGTACATTCTATTTGCTATTTCCAGTACACTAGGCGTGAGAATCTTTATCGCTGTAGAAGTGTATTGTTTTTTCTGACCTTTTAAGAATTTGTGAGTTTTTGAGGAGAGGTTCAAGAAAAATGCTGATTTTGTTCTTGATTTTCTGTAGAAAATAAATATGAAACTGGACTATTTATACTTGGGGAAATAGTTTCTTTCGTAAGCAACATAGACTTTTTTACAAAAAAAAAATACATCAAATTTTGATTATTTGTTTATATCTGTAGGTTTTGCAAATATGGAATTTATTGAGGAAAAGATACAATCAAACCAAGGTCAAATAAGTGTCATAATGAGCTGAAAAACGAATATTTTATTTGCCCTGGTAATTTTGTCCGATTTGTTTTTACTCGAAACACGATTATATCCGGTGTAATGTCCAATACTGTTAAAACAAGGATATAAAAATATCATTTCTTAAAACAATGGTGATACAGCGTTGCAAAAATTAAGGAACACAATAGTTGTTGTATGGAATTATTCACTAGTAAGATGTTGAAATGGTATATATAGTTGTGTCAATTTCATATCGTTTCTTTAGAGCTTGCACTCGAAATTCCATAGTTTGAGAGGAGAGAGATGGGCACTGACACATTTGGATTTAAAGTGGCAATCTCATAGTACTTTTAGACTAATAGACACATTAAAGTTCATGGATACAAAAATATGGCTTCAAAGAAAATTTATCACTACAATATCCATATAAACCCAGGTGTAAGCAGTGTGGGACAGACAGTGTAAATACGAAAGACAAGGCAATCACTCCTGCTGAAGTGGAATTTATTATTTAGAAATTAAAGAAGAATAATGATATCTGAAATATGTTGCGTTTCGAATCGGAATATCAGTCCCGAGTGGATCCGCCCACTTTGCGGTTTGAGGCTTGCCGATTTACCTCCAATGGGCGTGTTCACGAGGGACGGATATCCGATCAGAACCACAGCAATATACCAGATATTCTTTCTTGCATACCCTACCATATTGCATTACATTTGAAACTCTCTACCCCAATTAAACAATTTCCGTGGAAATTTATGTCATTACACCCGTAACTATTTTCTTACAACAGCGAATGAACTTTAAACTTCATTCATAACGTTAAAACTACGTCATCGAAAACGTACCATTGTACTGGCACCCCAATGCTAGACGGAATTTTCGTCATCGGTAAAACGAAAGGAAACGCAAGACTGATATGCAAGAATAAAGCTTGTGACATGGATATTTTGATAAACGAATGTTTTAAAGAATGCTTTGATAAACTCTCTTCTCATTTGGTTGATCCGTTTAATGCTATTCTAAATTCCGGACATTTTCCAGTTGAATGCTCATGTGTAGTTATCGTACCTATTTATAAAAATAACGATCCGTGTGACGTGGCATTACACTTGTAAGTTGTTTATCGAAACATTTTACAGGAATATTGGATAAGCGGCTAAGCGAATTGTCAGAAACTTATAACGTAATTAGTGACGCACAATTCGGCTTTTGCATGGGCCGTTCAATAACGGATGCTGTATTTGTTTTAAATGCAATTGTACACAAAGTTTTTAATGAAAGTAATCGTTTGTATTGCTGTATGGTTGATATGAAAAGAACATTTGATAGCGTTTATCTCAATGGCCTTTGGCTAAAATATTATAAATAAGGAATTGATGGAAAGCTATGCTATTTATAATAGTAAAGGATGTGTATTCACATGTTAAAGTCTGTGTTAAAAGTTGTAATTCACGTTCGGAATTCTTCGAATGTGCTGCATACAGGCCTAAACAAGGAAAGGTTATGTCCCCTTTGATGTTCCCCTCATTTATTGATGACCTTGATTATTTTTGCAAAAAAGGCGAAATATTGTTTTTAGAAAAAGAGTTCCTATTAAACATGATGAATGTTGGACTTATAATAACGAAAGAATAAAAATTGTTGATAATTAAAATTATCTTGGGATAGTTGTTAATGTACACATGCACATTTGTATTAAATCAAGACACATTAGCAGTTAATTGTCTTAAGGCTGTCAATGTTGTAATGTATAATATCAAAGGATTAAATCTTACATCAAGCCTTATTTAACAGCTATTCAACCCCTTTGTTACAGCTACTCCCAATTATGTGTGTTAAATTTTGGGTTTTGGTAAATCGAAAGAAATTGAACGTATCCTTTTAAAATCCACTGCAAATCAATTTTGAATGTTTAAACAATTTGTAATAATTTCCATCTAGATTTTAAAGAAAGAGTAACACGGAACATTGGATATATACAAACATTATTGACCTCATTAGGGTTTGAAAAATATTTCTATATATTGCCATTTAGATTTAGAAGCGTTCTGTCTAAGCTTGGAATATCATCGCACAAGTTAGTCATTGAAACCGGTCGATAAGAAAGGAATAGAGTAGAAAGAAATTTGCGATATTGTGTATTTTGTAGCAAAAGAGATATAGAAGACGAATATCAATTTGTCATGGTATGTCCAGTAAATACGCTTATATAGGGAAACAATTCATTAAAATATATTTTATAGGAGGCCAAATGTTATGAATTTGATAAAGATTTTAAATTGTGATAATATAT